TTAACTTTAATAAAGAATATCTCTTTGGGTTTGAGACTTTAGTCTTTGCAACTTTGGGGATCTTATCTATTCACGAACAGCTTGTAACACTCCAAAGAGAAAGGAAAACTTGAAATCACATCATATGACCCCTTTAAACAAATACTAAACCCTAACCCTGACGTTAACCCTAGCATTACTGTTCGGATTCATACATGATTTTTCTTAAGTCCAAATTTTTCTTGATGGTTGACTGTGATTGAGTTGACCAGTTAACTGCAGAGAAAGGGTTTGTGCTTACCTGGTTGGGGGAAAAAAATCATGCAGTATGTTCAAGGCTGGTTGCCAGATTGTAATCACACTACATATAAGTATCAGGTATGGCTACTTTTATGGCTATAACTATAATGATAATAATGAGTTATTTTCTTAAGCTTTGGTACACCCAAAGAATGGTTCACTTTGAGAATACCTGAAAAATTTGATGGGGCTTAGCCACTTGTTGGCACTAATATGGTGCTAAAACTGTGGGACTGTTTGTCCAATTGTTTTGTATGCAGTATTGTTTATAAAATATAGCCACCGTCAACAAATTCAGTTGATTATCAACAGTTGACAAAATGTGGTGGGCCTGTTTGATTTATGGTTTCAGGGAGCTGGATAAAATATGTTTAAAAAATGTAATCGAAGAGAGGTGCTACTATGTTACATGCACAGTCTGTAAGTAGATATATATTCCACAGTGTTTGATATTGAGACAAAGCAATTCCATCACTTGATGGGCCCCCTCATGCCAAACAAGAACTATTGGTGTTCCTCATATCATTTCAATTTTTAAATGTTAACTGCCACATTCAAATAAAGATTTTAAGATCTTTAAAATCACTAATTAAAGTACAGTCATGGCCAAAAGTATTGGCAGTGACAAATTTTGTTTTGTAGATTATTTTTCCACGTTTCTATGGTATACTGAAAAACAATGAAAAGCATATGCGTTTTAAGGCTTTTATTGGCAAAAAAATAAAATAAGTCAATATTTACAGTGTTGACCCTTGTTCTTTATAACTTCTGCAGTTCGCTCTGGCATGCTGGATATTAGCTTCTGGGCCAAATCCCACACAGTGATTGACTGATAGTGGAGGGGTCTCTGTCAGAGATTTATTCATAGAAATACTGTAGAGTGTGATATTTTCAAATAAATATTCATATTCAAATAAAGGTAAAAAAATAAATGTTAACTGCCACATTCAAATAAAGATTTTAAGATCTTTAAAATCACTAATTAAAGTACAGTCATGGCCAAAAGTATTGGCAGTGACAAATTTTGTTTTGTAGATTATTTTTCCACGTTTCTATGGTATACTGAAAAACAATGAAAAGCATATGCGTTTTAAGGCTTTTATTGGCAAAAAAATAAAATAAGTCAATATTTACAGTGTTGACCCTTGTTCTTTATAACTTCTGCAGTTCGCTCTTGACACCAGGCCGCTGTCCAAAAGTCTTGGCCTCACTGTACGTGCAGATGCTCTCACACCAACCTGCTGCCATTCCTGAGCAAGCTCTGCACTGGTGGTGACACGATTCGCGCTGTCCAAAAGTCTTGGCCTCACTGTACGTGCAGATGCTCTCATACCAACCTGCTGCCATTCCTGAGCAAGCTCTGCACTGCTGGTGACACGATTCCATAGCTGAATCAGTCTGCTCTTACAATCTAATTAGTGTGATAGTGATTTCACCTGACTAGTACTCATTCACACTTTCACATGTGCTGCTGATGTGATTAGTCAATTAATGTTAGCTGGTAATTTTGTTCAGGATCAAAAAACAGTGAATTTTGTTTTTTGTAAAAAGTTCGGGGTTTTTTTTGGCCAATGAAGCTTTTAGCAATTATTTAAAATGCATCTGATTACTCTACACGATAATCTAGAAACAATGTGAATGAACACCACAACAGCTTAAACTGCAAACTTTGCAAAACACAAAATTTATGTCACTGCCAAAACATTTGGCCATGACTGTACATACAGTGCACATTTAAGATGTCATCAAAAATTCATTATATTTCAGGGCCCGTATTCACAAAACATCTTAAGGCTAAAAGTAGCTCATAACTCACCGATTTAGGAAAAAATCGTAAAAATAATGGGCGTCAGTCCTAAAATTAGGACTCCTACATTTTTGTTCTAAGAGTATTTCACAAAGCGTTTTAGCGCTAAAATTAGCTCCTATATCTATGAAACGTTAGAAGTAGTGAAGAGGACTCCTAAGTCACTAAGACCAAATCTGAACTATCCTAAAATGGCTGTTGCCAGCAATCTACCTC